AGGGGACGGGTATATGCATACACAAAGAGTGCAATGCGCACCACCTGAAGGATGGACATATTTGAAACTCGGACTTGGAGGGGGGGCAAGGGCAACATACATAACCTAAACATCTGTACCCCCATAATTTGCTGAAATTAAAAAAAAAAAAAGAATGGTTCTAGGGACCCCATCAGATTATCCCTGGGGAAGCTGCATGCAGTGAGCAACACAGAGCCAGTGCTCACCTAGGGTGGGCTCCACTGGCCACAGCTCCCTCCTCCCTGGGTGGGGGACTGCCTAGACCCTTCAAGTAGATCAGTGTCATAAAGGACAAAAGGTTCTGGGTTAAAAGAGAGTAAAGAAGTACCCGAGGACACATATGCATCTTGATCAGATCTTGAATCTGCGCCGAGGGATGGGGAATTATAAAGGACATTTTTTTGTGACAAAGAAATCTTAATTTGGACTAGAAATTCTTCTTGATGTTAAATTTCTCAGATGTGGAAGGTGCTATGGCTGTGTAGGGGAATGCCTTGTGATGTGTTAAGGAGTCAAGTGTCAGCTTTTGGTAATTTATGTTCAAAGGATCAGGGGAAAAATGTGTGTGTGTGTGTGTGTATATACCCACATATATATGTATACCCATACATGTGTGTATATATATGGGGAGAAAAAGCAAATTTGGCAAAATATTAATAGTGATTCTGGTTGAACAGTGTATTGGAGTTCATTGTACTATTCTTTCATTTTTTTTCTGTAGGTTTGAAATTTTTTTAAATAAAAGAATTGGTTTAAAAAGGGTGTGGGCCTTGGAGCTAGAAAGGAGGTCCTCCCCCAGCCTGTCAGGGCATACCAGCACATCCTGCCAGGGCCCTGTTGACACAGGCTTTCTATAGGAGGTGGGCTCTGGCATGTTCATTAAGCAGGTGAGCAGGGATTCTGAAGAACAAAATGAATAGAAAACCAAGAATAAACAACTAGAGAGAAAGAGTAAGGCCCAGGGAAACTCTCTAGCAACATCCATGTTGGATGACAGCTATGGAGGCTGAGCTTGCTATATAAACAGAAAAGCTTTGTGATGCTGGAGCAAAAAGGCAAGGTGGGAGGAGATCCATAGAGGCAAGAGTGGGTACGTACAGCTTCCCTACGGGCCGTGGGGTATGGAACAGGTAGGGACTTGTTCCACATGTGGAACCTGCTCAGAGGCCTGGTGGCCAGCTGAAGTTGAGGTTCCTGTATAGACCCCTTGGAGGGTTGTAGCCCTAGGGAAGGGATTAATAAACTTGTCCCAGGAGACAGCAAATATGCTTCTCTCTTTTACTTGGGGGTGGGGGAACAAGGGAGGATATTTTGTTAGAAACTTAAACCCTAGGCCTGTGTCTTACTATGTTTTAGAGTCTAAATTTAAACTACTTGTGTGTTGTAAGAAATGCCAAATTAAGTATTTAACATACAAATTGGTCCCCGTCATTGGTCCCCCAGGTACCTGGGGTACTTGGCTAAAGCAAAGATAAAACCTGTTACTTGTGAGAGATGTTTGAACAGTCTAATAAACCTCATGTATTTTCTATAAAAACAAAACTCAAAAAATAGCCCTACTTAAATGTTCCAATAGAACGTGATCCCTGTGTGCAGACCTTTCAAACAGAAGGTTTCGCTTTTAGTGAGAACCCAAGGTAACAAGACTAAATCTGAAGGAGGATATGAAATAAGTGTATTAGAAATGATTAGAGCCATGGAAAGAAGTTTAGAGACCAGAAGAAAAGAATGAGATATTGCGGCCTGGCGCAGTGGCTCATGCCTGTAATCCTAGCACTCTAGGAGGCCGAGGCAGGAGGATCGCTCAAGGTCAAGAGTTCGAGACCAGCCTGAGCAAGAGCAAGACCCCATCTCTACTAAAAATAGAAAGAAATTATCCAAACAAGTAAAAATACAAAAAATTAGCCTGGCATGGTGGCGCATGCCTGTGGTCCCAGCTACCCGGGAGGCTGAGGCAGGAGGATCGCTTAAGCCCAGGAGTTTGAGGTTGCCATGAGCTAGGCCGATGCCACGGCACTCTAGCCCAGGCAACAGAGACTCAGTCTCAAAAAAAAGAATGAGATATTGAGAGGTAAATCAGGCAGATTTGAATAAACAAAACTGGGAGTTAAAATAGTCATTGAGAGGATTCTGGAATGATGGTGGAGTAGGAGAAACCAAGAATTTGTCTCTGCAGCTAGATAACAATTGCAGCAGTAGAATCTTTCTGATGTAACTGTTTTGGAACTCTAGAGTCTATTGAAGGATTGCAATTTCCAGGGGAAAGCCTGGATGGTAAAGTCTGGTTAATTTTGGTCAATTTCAGCGCTTAGTACAATAGCAGCTACCTAGTGTCCCATCGCCAGGGGGCATGGCAGTCGCCTGGCAGGCAGCTGTGCACATGTTCCTGGGGCATCTTACATGCAGTTTGTGGGAGCCAGGATGGGCAAAAAGGACCCTGGCCTTCAAATAGCAGGATCTGTGTTCTAGATTTCTGATTGCTGCTTCTGATCACAGAGGTGCAGACAAAGAGGCAGGTGGCCATTGTTGGTATACCTCTTTCCATTGTTGCCAGTTCCTCCTCCTCCAGCTGAAGTGACTTCAAGGGGATTTAAAGGGCAAGCACCAATCCTCCCCACCTTCATTTTTCTCATTTTCCTCTTTTGGGATCCAGACACTAAAAGACTTGGATATTCAAAAGCAACTGCATGCAGGGGGAAAATTAGAAAGTGTGCATGCCTAGGGAAAGGAACAGGCTCAGAAAAGACTTGAGAAGACCTTAAGTTTACATCTCAGGCTGATTTGGCACAGAGACAGCCCACAACAATCAAAAGAAAACAAGAACAATAAATAAAAACAGTAACAAAAACCCAGCAAGCCTAGGGTAAGGGAGAGAATCTGATTTCCAGAGTTACCACATTAATTA